CTTTCAAATTACACACATAACATTGCCATATTTCAGTGGGCACCGAAAGCTGTTCAAAGTTACAAAATGGCATCAGAAAAGTTCTAAGAATGCTCCCGGTCACAATAGTCGTACAATCGTCAAACGATCGCAGACTAGGGAATCATTCATTGGGCTAGTCGTGTGTACACGGTAGAAAAAGTGTCTTGCAACGAAAAAGGTTGTTTTACATTCTTGTCGGCGGGCGTTTTTCTCACAGTCTATTTAGAAATCCTACGACATCAAAATCGTACGACAACATACGACTAAAGTTACCGCAGTTAAAAATGAGAAGCATGCTTGATATGTCTAAACAATAAACACTCTACTTACGGTATTACAGTATTGTCTAGGGTCTCCTGCACACTCCGACGGTCCCGGCGTGACTGCTTGTACGGATGTTTGGTCACAGAATGAAACATTCAAAGTTAAGACCAACAGATGCGTTCGAACGTTCGAAGACCAACAGATACGATCCACGTACTGAATCGAACGCTTTTCGAACGAGTTTTCTTTGCAGAGGATATCACTCCGGCGTCCATAGCAACGCCGTTGCTAAGGACGACGTTTTCGCGGGCGGCGGGCTGAAATTTCATCCGAGTTGTTGACAGCTGATTACATCACGACTTTCGGTCTTTTGGTCAAGATGGCGGTAGGTATCAGACGTGTATATCATGTGCTCTCTGTACTAATTATATGATCTGAATTTTCGTCTCATTTGAATTTGGGGGAAATCCTGGCATGCAACCCCCACCGATAGGTGACAGAATCTTCAGAAGGATGAAGGTGGTCACCTCAACAGAAAGAAGAAGAAGAAGAAGACCCGTTTCGCACTTGATTTTGCATATGACGATATGTGGATAAAATGTGTTGAACCTTTGGCTTTCTCCCATTATGAATATCCTGTTGGTGCGAAGTCTGCATATATTTGCAATTCCATGCCAACTGGGGTCACTTTTTTCTGCAATTTTATGGCTAAACATCGTCGTTTGTCGTTTGACTTCATTTCGGTCAAATGTTGAATAATTTGCGTATATGTGCTTCTTGTAAACATCATGATTGTGGTAAAATCATTTCCGATGAACTAATCTAGTCTAAGTTTAGACCCAGACTCTTAGTCGTTAGATCTTTACGAGGACAGATTGAATTCTAAATACTGTAGTTAATGTTGTAGTTGAGTCTGATCGATCACGAACTTTGTAAAAGAAATCATCCCTTCTGTGTGTGTTTGTGCAAGGAGACATTATCTATACACAGATATATAATGTCCTTGGTTTGTGCAAAAAATTCCCGCCAACTTTATCACGTGATGTCTGGTTGCCATACAAGAACAACAAAGTTGCATGACTGCTGCAAATTGTTACAATGTCTTGTCATAGTGTCTAAAGTTACACCAAGACAAGTATTGTACCTTCTATCTAGTGCTCGATGATATAAAAAAAACAGTGCACAATATACACGTTTATATGCAGCTTGTGACATTTGTAAAAATTATAAATGGTTGAGCATGTATATCATTGATTATTAAAATAAAGCTAACATTCATTTCAGTATTGAATTAGGAAAAAGATGTCAAGGGGAATTTTTATTTCTGTTTCAGATCATCCTAGGCTTCACCGACTGTAAAATTGGTAAGTATCTGGCAAACCATGTCAAACTCTCTCCTGGCATCTTTAAAAAATTAGTAGGAAAATTTAAAGAAAAAGTTCAAGGACAAAGTGGGAATGCACTCAGGTTATACAGTCACTTACTTTGATAACAGCCCCACTTGACACTTAACACTAAACAAGTACAACCAATACAGATATATAACTAAGAATAAAAGTGAGAACAAAATTGTGCTAGTGTTGAAGTTTGAGGAAGACCCTAGCCCCTAAAATCTGCCTCAAATAGCATTGCACCAGGTTTCTTGTAAGATTGGAGAAATGTTTTTTGAAAGTAAACCAACACTTCTTGTTGATGCCTGTGATCTTTATGTAGAAATGTTAACAAGTTAAAGAAAAGATTTGAATGTAAAAGTCAAAGTAATGTACTGATTATGACACACTCTACTGTGGTTGGACTTAAATGATTAAGGAAACTTTATTTTGGTTCACAAAAGTTCTAAAACCAAACATAGTTAATGTTATACTATAGTTATTGTGATATTATAGAATCCCTTCATTTAGCATTGTATTCTGCAAGAGTTAACTCTCCAAAATATGATCAAGAGTCTAGTTTTGCTTCTATGCTAAAAGGTTTAAAGGATAGTATCAATTCTGGCACCTGGCCATCCTTTTTATATATGAATACTATTATTCATCAAGAATCCTCCAAATTTATTCCATTT